AGAAAGCTAGGCGGCCACGGGCTCTTTTGCTCCAAAATCTGGTTTTCTAAAATGTTTGGGTTTGGTTTAGCTAGGTCCATCCAAAAGTGATGAGACCTAGCTAAATCAAATCCATGAAAAATTAGGAGCAAAATGAGTCTAATATGTAAAATTTTGCTTAGGCCCAATTCTGGCCCAATTGCTAAACACACCCTCAAGCCTTGCTAATTGCCACCCCAGTTCTACTACTCAAAAATAGAAAAAGAGTGACCTTTAATACAAGGTCAATTGGAGCAAAAGTCTCCGAGGAACCTACCCTAAAAACAATATACAAAAGTACATAAAAAGAAAACAAAGTGTCTCAGAAATACAAAGGCTAAAGATGACCTATACAATGGAAACTATGTACAAGTTATATACAATAGAACTATGCCTTCTCTTCATGATAGAGTGGTCCAAATGAAGAGTACCTTGGGCTTAGAAAGCCCACTGGTCTTCAAGTTGTCCAGCCCTTCCTGAATACTCCTGGCCATAGCTCTAGTGATTGGGCCCTTAGCCCATGGTCCATCACAATGTCTTCCCCATATTGTGGGTATTGCTTTGCCTTATAATGTAAGCTTGCACCAATCATTGCAGTTGGGTCTTAAAATCAATATACTTAAAATACCAAACGAGTTTAAATAGAGAGTACCACGTACATAACTTAAACAAATAACTTAATCAGCGGAAATTACAAAGAAATGATGTTAAGATTTCCAAAATAATAAGAACAACATGTTAATTTAATCCTATCTAAGCCCCAATTTCACATGTCATATCAGAGCAAAGCCCAATATTGAAGCCTAAGCTTCGTCACCAACATCCTCAGCCTCATGCTGATGGTCACCTGTATAATAGTCAAAGGAAACAATACAAAAGAAAAGAGAGTGAGAAACATCTCATGCTGGCTCACGGTGTAGGAATGTACACCGGATGGCCAAACACAAACAATACATGTATAGCATAGATATATTAACAATAATATCACATCCCATTCATCCAAGACATAAAAAAAATCAATTTATCATATAACATTAAAAATGCACTTGTATAGAAACGGACTACATATTATCATGCATGTAGCGCCAGTAAAACATCACATGGCATATTACCGCTAGCAATACACGAAAAGTATTCTAGGAGTACATGTCGGGTCACACCCTCTGCGCACTCTCACTAGAAGGACATACTACCAGGGTCTGGTCGGGATAGTTAAGCCTGCGCAAGATATATCCCATGCACACAATGGGCGAGACTAGGACTTCCAAATCGAGCTATCCCCAAGGACTAATCCCCAAAGCTTTTACACTAGGGGGCCTTCCCTGACGGTGTATTCCATATCGTACCCTTAAAAACATTTATGCAAATGATGCATGTCAATCAAGACTCTATGCATTCTCATATCACATTATCATATCTCATTATCATATAACATTGTCATGTCTCATTATCATATCACATCATGTCTCATTATCACTTTTCACATTACAAAGCACTCAAATTCATATCAAAATTTGTCCATTTTCAAAATTAAATACATATCCGTACATCTCATCCAACAAGGAATACAACAGAATAATCAATAGGCAAAACAGAAAACATTCATATTTTGCATGTTTCTCATAGGATTCTCTCAGGAACCCATAGAGCACTCTAATTTATACAATAAACATTCAAAACAATACAATTTACTCATACATAAATACATACTAATTACATCAATTAGAACATTCAGGGAGAAACATAGATGAAACAGAGCATACAACAAACATAGGATTGGGGGTCAATCTCACTACCCAACATACATTCCCACACCCAGAGCGAGGTTTCTCACTCCCCCCTTACCTCGATAAGCAGGAGCTGAAACTGAAGTAGGATCTTGTTGGTCTCCTCCTCTGTGTTCCTCTTGGTCTTCAGAGAGTGTAGAAGAAAAGAAGTCAGAAGTGAAAAATGTGCTTTTAGGAGTGTTAGAGCATGCTATTTATAGATGTTAGGAGTGGCCAGAATGACCCGTTTCGAATCCAGAATGGTCTATTCTGGACCCAATCATCATGTGAAAAAGTCACATCCGAAACGCCCCGTTTCTAAACTAGAATGGCCCGTTCTAGGATTAAGTTTAACCCACAACAATCATGTTTGGAACGGCCCGTTCTTAAACCGGAACGGCCTGTTCCCAACTAGGGTTATAGGTCATTTTAGTAGTTTGGAACGGCCTGTTCCAGTTTGGGAACGACCCGTTCTAGGCTACTAAAATTCAAAATATTAAAAAATAATTTTCGTAAATATTTATTATTAAAAACCTCTAAAATATTCTATATAATCCATTTAATTAATTAAAATAATTATACAAAAATAATCTCTATAAATACAAAAATAAATAATAATTAACCATAGTATTAGTAGAAAATTCGGGATGTTACAAGATTAATCACTCATGTGTCAATTCTTCCTCCGAGGAATAATGACTTCCTCCTCCTCGTCACTGTCGGGCACATAATCGACTCCTCTACGAGACATTTCTAATATAATATAAACCTTAATTAAATTGTATTACTAATAATTCATTTATAAAATTATATAATATTTATCAAATTTGTGAATTTATTTACAAAAATTAGTCTTTTCATGGATCTCAATTTAAATACAACAAATTTTATCAATTACATTTTTATTTTTTATTTCTATTAATTAATTTAATGTCATTATCATAACCAAAATATCAATCTTTTTAAAAAAAAACTTAAGATTTTTTCATTTTTAACAAATAAATATTTACATCATATTTACACAATTAGAACAAAAAACCCTATTTTTAATATTTTTATTTATTTTTATTCATACCAATATTCTGAATTAAATATAATAAATTTTAACATTCAACATTTTCAACATCATTACCGACATCTCTAATTACTAGAGACATACAATTTTATATAAAATTAAATTTTAAAATATTAAATTATTACATTATACTTTTAAAATATTTTAGATTCCTCTAAATTATTTAAATAATCACAAATATAATTAATATAAACCATTTACATATTTTTTATAATTAAATTATTTTATATTTTTAATTCTTTGAAAATATAAAATTACATAAATTTACTATTTATTAATATTAGTAAAATTTCATACAATATAATCAAAAGTTTAAACGCTACTTATATTTATTATTAAAATTAACTAAAAATCTTGTTTAATTTTATACATTTTTCTACTTTTCTTATATTTATTTTATGTTATTAGTAACTTATTTTTTAAAAACAACAAGTCTATTTTTATAATTTATATTACTTATTATTTATTAAGTAGATTTTTCTTTTCAACATGGATTATAATAAATATAATACTACAATTTAATAAACCCTATATATAAATCACTTTTGAACCACTAACTTATAACAAAATATATTCAAAAATATAACATCATTTTTATGATCATTTTCACATAATATATATTATAATCTCTATTCTACTTATACTTACTTGTAAATACGTCAAATAAATAGATGGTGTTTTATAACCTGTAAAATAACAATAAAAATATATCATTAATATATAAATATATAAAATAATACAACAATTATACTAACAACAACCAACTATAAATTACACTAATCTAAACCGCAGTCATTAGTAAAAAAATTATCACAAAATTTCACACTACCATAGAAGAAATTCAACCTTAATTTATTAAACAACACAAGAGACAATGAAACGAATGAAATTCAACCTCAATATATAGAGGAATGGGGAGTTAGAAAACGCAAGGGTTCCTTACGTTTTTTTCAATTGCATCGGTTCGCTCCTCTTTCGGCCGTAGTCAAAGGCTATTTTTTCACGGCCTGAATACAGCATGCAATTGTCAAGTCTGGCTAGGTGGTTCAGAACACGCCTTAGATTCATGCGCCATCTGGTAAAACGAAGCTATAGAAGATGCATGGGGCCCATGCGCCAAGTAATCACAAGACGCCTAGGGCCTGGGCTCCAATAAACAAAAACCCAAAAACCCCTCTCCCCCTATGCGCCCAACATGTAATAAAAAAAACCCAAAAACCTCTCCCCCGACTAGCATGCACACGTAGCAAAAATCATTTACAACGGTAATTAGTTATTTTTTAAATTTATTTCATATATTTTTATTTATTTTTTATTTTATTAAAGTTAAAAATCCCAAAAATTTTATTGTGTAATTCTGCCTTTAATTTTCTTGCATGGAGAGACGAGAGGGTATCTTGAGACGGATGAAAAAATAATGTCATTCATCATCTCTCAATCCATACAACTCACATCACAAAAAACCATGATAGCTGGATCCAAAAAGAAGCTAAGATATATATAAGCATCGAAAGATCGTTTAGTCACAAAATTCGAATATTTATTTGGCATACCTTCATAGAAAAGCCCTTCAACGGGGGTGTTCTGTAATTCTAAAACAGATTGGGCAGCACTTTCATCGAGGCAAATTAAACTTCAGAACTTTATACTTATAAATAATTATAAAATAGTAAATATTACATTTAAAGATTCAAAATCACATGCATACATCCAGAGTATTAAATAATCATCACAGTAAGCTGGGTGAATTTACGTAAGATAGATGTTGTAAATTATATTGCATCCAATCCAGATTAATATAAAAAAATATTGTATGGGCACTTAAATATTTAATATCACCATTGAAATCCAACCGAGTTTTAAAAGTCTCAAATTTGTATAGTCCACATGTATCCATAATATTGTAGACTCGTCGCTCTAATTATTGATAGAAGTTTATGTTTCAAATGGTTGATCAGTTTGTTTGTGTTTAAACATTTATAACCCTTAATGGGTATTAAGGGGAAAAAAACTAAATTAAAAATTACAATTCAACTCAGGACCAAAGAACCTAAAACAGTCGGTCACTAATGCATCTTTAAAAAGTGTTAGGAATATCCCAAATTCCCAGTACATAACTAATAGAGTCATCATAACCAATATTAATATATAACCACCGGTTAAATACCACTAGAGTCACCATAACCAATGGTTAATTACCGTTGCAGATACAGGATAATGATACACATACTTGCATGGTGAAAATATGCATTAAAGTTCATCAAAATATATCAATGAATATAGTCTATCAATTAAAACTTATCAATAAATGGCATGATATAATGCAAGCTGTTTAAAGAGCTAATTTAAACTAACAGTTTAACACAAACTATCGGAAAAACAAAATTGAAAAATGCAATCAAATATAATAAACGTTGTTCCTAAGCACCCTTATCAGCCTTAGCAGCAGTTGCAGCGGCTTGTCCTCTAAGGCGACCAGTCCTCCTAGCAGCAATAAGACCAACCTTTTGTCCCGGTGGAGCATCTCGCCTGACAGTGCTGGCGTGACCAATATGCTGGTGGTTACCACCTCCGTGAGGATGCTCAACAGGGTTCATAGCAACACCACGCACCTTGGGCCAGCAATTCCTCTTCACTCTAAACTTGTGGTAAGCATTTCCAGCCTTAAGAAGAGGCTTCTCAGTCCTTCCACCACCTGCAACTTGCCCAATCATAGCCCTACAGTCACTTGGAACAATCTTCTTCGCACCGGAAGGAAGCTTAATCCTGTGAATACAGTTAAACATTTAAACCACACCCAAATACCTACGCATTTCAATAAAATGCTAAAATCAATTAGCTCATCAGTAGTAAGTTATAAACTATGCTATGCACATTAATCAAAAGCTTAGTCCGGGTCTAACAACAAAAGCTTAGTACGGGTCTAACAACACGTTTAAGATGTGAAACAATAGATATACGTGAGTTTCCAAACACGTTATTAATCCAGTAACAAAACAAAACACAAAATTGAACAGCACCCAAATGTGCTAGCATATGAATTTGAATTCGACAGAAAATCGTTATCCCAATTCACCCAAATTCCCAACCATACTCGTCAACAAATCAATAAATTATAAATCATCCTATTAATCCTGTACCAAAATCCAAAGAAAAATGAACTGCAAGCCTCTCCATTTCCCCCAAATACCCAACCCTCATCATCAATAAATTATAAATCACGCTATTAATCTTTAAAACAAAATTCCAAATTCCCAATTCAATTAAAATTCAACATAAAAAACCCTAATCCCAATTCACCCAAATTCCCAACCCCCTTAACCAACAAATTACAAATCATGCCGTGCAATTCAATAAAAACACAAAAAAAGCGAAATCCTGCAGCAAATTTCAAAGCACTTCAAAACATAACATCCATCAAACAAAACCCATCTCCATCTTCCAACGTCCACAAAAACCAACCAAACAAAACCAACAATATCACCAACAAAGAGATCCAATCAAACAACTCCAAACTCAAATACCTAGAGGTGTCATTATCAGGGTTGTGGCTGATAACAATGGCGTAGTCACCAGAAGCCCTGGCGAAAACACCACGGTCACCAACATGGTGCTCGACGTTGCAGATGACAGCACCTTCAGGGATGGATCGGAGGGGCAAGACGTTGCCAACAACAAGGGTGGCCTTCTTACCGCAGTAGATGAACTGACCAGTGTACAAGCCCTCGGCGGCCACGAAAAGCTCGTTCTGCTTCTTGTACCGGAAAGGGTGGCGGAAAGTGACCTTGGCGAGCGGCGCGCCGCGGCCAGGGTCGTGGATGACGTCGGTGACCACGCCCTTCAGGTAGCCGTTGCGCTCGCCGAAGTCGAGACTGCGGAAGCGCGCCGGGCCCTTGCGGTGGTGCGTGTGGGACTTGAAGACGGAACCCGCACCCTTACGCTGCGCACGAATCACACGTCCCATTGCGGCTGGAATGCTAACCTACCTTACCTCTCTCAGATGGATGGGGATTCTAGGGTTTATTGTTGACGGGTGAGTTTTATATAGTGAGTCACTCGGTGCTTTCACTTCGTTTTTTGTTCCTGGGTTTGGGCCGCTCCAGGTCCAATGTCACTTGGAACGGACCTCTCTAGTGCTTACTTCGGTTTGGGCCGTCAAAAGAAGACTAAATTATGTTCCTATGAGAATTCACACGGCTCTCCTGATTTATAATACCATTTAAGAATAAGAATTATAACTAGGGATGGGAAAATGAGTTTTGGACTAAATGGTAAGTTGTGTAAATTGGTCTATTTATTTTATTATTATTTTTATTTTTGATGTTAAGTTTGAATAAATTATATGAGATTTATTATGTGAATAATTTGTTGTGTAAAATATGTTATATATTTGATTTATTTTGTTATATGTAATTTAAATTTTTTTATATATTAAATTTATTGAAAGAGTTATTATTGTTATAATTATATATTTATTTTATTATATAGAAAATTTAAAATTTCTTATATAACAAATTAAATTAAATATTTTATTATTTATGTATATTAATTTATGTAGATCTTTTAGACATTAAAAAAATATATAATACGTTAAATAAGGTATTTAAAGTAAATATATAATTTTTATTTTATATTTTTTTAGGTTAACTAACTGTTAACTTATTTTTAGCAAAATCGACTCATTTTTTTGCGGATAAATGATAAGATAAGTCTAAATAAATTAAACTAATTTATTTAGTCATCCTTAATTACAATATAATTAATGAGAGGTTAATAGAAGAAAAAAAAATATTTCACATAAAAAGAAGAAAATAATATTTTTTTTTAATAATATGTGTTAACGAATGAGTATTTTTTTTATTTTTATAAATATATGGAATCATTTGAATGTGTGTCTGGTTATTAAGAATAAAATAAATATAAAAAATATAGATGTTAAACAAAATTAATTTATTTATTGTCAGAATAAATCATTTATAATTATTATAATACCTAAGGAAATTCAAATTAAATTAGTAAATGAAATATAAAAATGATTTTATCGTAATTTTGGTAAAAGAAAGCGTAAACAATGGAAAATATACTGGAGTTGAAATTCAAAATAAAATATAAAAGAAACTAAACTAATCTCTTCACAATATATCTATACATTAATTATTATAGTATTTTAGTATGTATAATGTATATATTAAATATTTAATATATATAATTAAAATTTAAAATAAATTAAGTCTATAGATAAATATTATATTAATATATAAATTATATTTAAATTTTGAATAAATAAATATTTTTAAATATATAAATTATATTTTAGATTTATGATAAATAATCTATAATATAGCATAATATTAGTTTTATTTATTGATAATTTAGTTAAATATATTGAAATATAATTACTAAATAATTATAATAAATACAAATTGAATTATATATGAAGTTAAAAAAAATTCTAAAAATCATCACATCAAAGAAAAGTTCTTAAAAATATTTTCGAATAAGATAAATATTTTATATATAGGAGTTGATTAATTAATTTATTTCATCAACAAATTAGAAAGAAGGACCATATATTTCTAAAGAAAATGTGTTTCTTAATTTTAAATAAGAATGAAAATATGTTAAGTCAGATTATGCTTTAAATATACAAGTCATGTTAGCTTTATTAAATTAAAGCATAAGTCAAGTTTATTATCTATTATAGACACTTTTATAGGTTTGGTTTGATTTTTTTAAAAGTTTGGTTTAACTCATTAACTTATTTAAAAACCTATGATACATTAACAATGTTAAATAGGCTAATAAATTTAATTTTAAATAAGCAAATTAAACCAAATTTGTTATAATTTTAAATTTATTTTATTATTTAGTTACATTAAGTCATGTGGGTCTTTTAAATATTGAGAATGAAATATGTTGGATGAGGTAGTCAAAATAAATATGCAATTTTTTTTAATATTTTTATTATTTTGGTGGACTAACCTGTCAACTCACCCTTAAACGTAAACATGACTACTAAACCCATATTTGTGGGTACCTTTCAATCTCGACTCGATTTTGATGAAAAAAACCTACTTTGACCAAGTATGGGTTTAGGTACCGTTATGAGTTTTCTTTAATTTGAAAATTTAGGTTAGAGTGCGAGTTTAGATATGTAGTTCATCACGTTACCTTTGTACTCACCTAGCTGCTTTTTTTTTACAGCAAAGAAATATATATATATATATATATATACGTATATCATAAATATACATAATTAAGAAAAAACATGACATTACAAAGGTTAGATGTGTTATTACTTACATGTTTTTATTTTTCAATGTCACATGTAGCAAAGTCATTGACCCTTAAAAGGCAGATAAGTTGAAAAATGAGATGAGTACAATTTTAAGCCAATTGAAAATGTATTTTTCTCCTTCATTTTTTTGATATAATGGTTTACTTGATTATTCATCTAGTGAGGGAAGTTTGGTTGAGCCCACTAGTTTACTTAAGGTGGATATACCAAGTTGAGTGATAAATGAAAATCTTAAAAGGATATATCAAAATTTTGTATAATCTAAATTTCTATTGTTTAAAGACACATTGTAAAAGAAGTTATTGAGTTTTTTTTTATTTCCAGATTACATATCACTAACCAGTGTAGAAAGGTCATCTTCTATTTTATTTATTGAAATAATCGACATAAAAATGACTAAGTTTCTCAAATCAAGAATTGACACAGAAAATCCAAATTAACCAACGTAGAATGACCCTATTGCACTAATGATTACACTTAATATGTTTATACATTGAATATTGAAATTTATAAAGTTACTTATGTTGAAAGTCAGAAATAATATATATTCTATATTGTTATGTTATTATTTGCATGTGTGATATAACATATATCACCCTAAAATTAAGGTACCAACGCATTGCAGGTATGCATATTTGACATTGGTTATAAATTTTTAAAAATTTGATAATTAAATTTATATATTTAAAAATAAAGAAACTAAAATTGTAGATTAAAAATTAAAAATTAAAAAAAAACTTTTTTGAAATAGGTTTCTCAAAGGTTATTTTTAAACTTATTACAAAATTTCAATCCGCTTGAGATCCTTCTATAACTATCATTAATTAAATTAAAGTTACTTATAATATGGGATATGATTAATGAATAATTTTGTCCCTTAAACATTTAGCTAAGAGTTCGACCCCCTAATTAATGTATATAAAAAGAATTTTGTTAATAAAGATCAATCTTTAAATAGATTTCAATACCTCAAAATATTATTGATTAACTTTAAACTTGAAAATACTTTAATTTACCAAAATTAATGATTCACTTTAAACTTAAAAATACTTTAATTTACCAAAATTATTCTCAACCACACTTTGAGAAAAGGAAACCAGCAAGCGGATTTGGTTGGCAACATGGCTCCTCATGTAGGAATGATTGGGTTATTTGGGAGTAGTGTCCACTCCAACCGAGTATGTCGCATCTGGCAGATGCTCAGATGTTGCCTTTTACTAGATTTTAGTTTCCTTGTAGTGCTGTTAACTTTTATACAAAAAAAAAAAATAAAAATTGTGAACACCTTAGGAACCGTGTTTAGATAAAGAATTTTATAAATTTAAAAAATCTTAAATTTTTAATATTTAAATTACTTTATTTCAATTTTTAACATTTTTAAAATATTTTATTTAGATAAGTTAATTTAAA